GAGAGAGAGAGACAGAATCCGAGCAGGGGAGGGACAGAGAAAGGCGGGGGGTGGGGGGGCAGACACAGAATCCAAAGCAGGCTCCAGGCTCTGAGCTGTCAGCACAGAGCCCAATGTGGGGGTCAAACTCACAAATCGTGAGATCATGACCTGAGCCAAAGTCGGACACTTAAGTGACTGAGCCACCCTGGTTCCCTACTTCACCTGTTTTCTTAAACTCAGTGTCGCCTTCTATACCATTGTTAGGAGAGAAAAAGCAACACATGGCCAAAAAAAAACTCCCATAATTTAAGGACTCTAAGAATGAAATATTAACATTTCAACAAAAATTTTTGCAGTCTTTTCCAGATGCACACATTTTCCATATATCTATGGTTACACTCTCTTTGAGTATATAAGATATTGTATCCCTGACTTAAACATAACAGATCTCCAAATAAAAAAAAATCAATCAGTCATGAACTACATTGTACTAAGCTGATACGATGTGTCATGTTCTATATACCTTCCCCTATCACTGAACACTTAGGGTGCTTCCAAGTTTCTACCAGCGCAAATACGACTATAAACCATTTTGCCTGCATAAACTGTCTCCCCCATTACTTAATATGACTGGCTCAAAAGACATGAAGAATTGAAAGATTTTCATTCTGGAAATATATTACATATATGATGTATACATATATATGTATATATGTATATTAAATATACATATATATTACATATATATATATTACATATATATATATACAATCATGCTGGTTGGTACATCCTAACTGGCAGCATATAAAGGGCTTGATCTAATATACACCCAACAAAATGGGATTCATCCTGTTTAATTAGTTTCCAATGATCTCATCTTCCTCTTTCTCTACCTTTGCAAAATAGAGAAAAGTTTGTTTCCTTCTAACCAGTGTCTCCTTTTGCCTTTTATTATTATTATTATTACTGTCACAATCACCCAGCGTTGAAACCTCAGACTTATCTCCATGGCTGACTGGATATGAGGATAAAGAAATGACAGAAATAAAAATTGTGTGGAATTTTGCTTTGAAAAGTCTCAAGGTTTAAGCCATTTCTTTCCATTTGATGTTCATCACTCTAATCCAAACACAACTCCCAGGTGGCCTCCTGGGTCTTTTCTCCTTCGATCTTGTTTGCCTTACACTCTGTTGTCTTACTACTTTCATAAATATTGAGCACATCATGCAATTGTCCCATAGATAAAGTTTCAGTGGTTCTCTATGGCTTATATAGCTCCTTTGCCTGGTTCTACTACCCATCAGCAACTAAACCTTATCTTTGTAGGTCCTCCTTCCTCATTAACTTCATCTTCACTTTGCCTCCCTGCCTTTCCAAAGAAGCAGGCTAAAGGAAAATGCATTTGACACATATTTTATAGAGATAGAACTTGCCATTTATGTGATGATTCAGAAGGTACTACAGGACCTTACGGTACTTATTACTGTAATGTCAATTTGTGAAAGTGGCTATTAATAAAGGTTTCTGGTTGATGGCATTTTGAGATGATAGCTTATTCTGAATTTCTGGTCTTATGTTATCACAGCAGAAGCATAGAACTTGACCTTGAGTTTGATCAAGAATGAGGACTCTGGACTCTGAGACTATTCAGCCTACACAGCTGTTGTGTAATCTTCTGCCTAATGCATTCACAACCCTTTAAAACTTCTGGCTTTTGAGGACAGGACTGGGACCAACCCTGTAGTCCAATTGTGCTGTATTAAGCTTTCTCAGTTTGTAGTTTCTCTTTCAAGGGAATGTTTAATTCAGTGCGGTGCAAAATTGGAGTTCTATTCTGTTGGCTATAGAGTACGTAGGTCAAGTGGAATTTTTGGCACTTCATTACATTCCCTGACCCTCACTAAACAAACTTCAAAATATATATATTTGCAACAATTTGAAATAAACACTACACACAAGTGTTGATGGTAGATTTTCTGAAGAACTACCAAATGCATCAAGGCTAAGGAAAACAATCTAATGATTCTTTCAAACATGAATATTTTTAAATTCCTGTTAAACAATCTTCCTATTTAGTCTTCTCAGGCTTTGATGACATGCCACAATTGGCTGTTTATCAAAAACTTAGCAAAAAATGATTAATAAGATATAATCATGTGCACACACTTGTGCATAATTAAACCCAGTTTTAAAATCAGTGCAGGGTGGAATATGGTCACACCATTCAAGAAAGGTTGGCAACCTAGCAAATAACGCTTTTCTTTCCATTTATAATAAAAAAATCATATGTGAATGTTGCGAAGGTGATATAATAATATGATCTTAAATCTTAGTTTAAAACATCTATTTCTATCTCTGCTGAACTGAGTGAAAGTTCTAACAGAATTGGGAAATTAATTTAGGTATAAGAAACATGATCAGGCATTAATTGTTATTCCTGGGATAGTGTGGCATAAAGGTGGAGGATTCTCATCCTTCTGAGATTTTTAATTGGAAGGATTTTCATCTGTTTTGTTTTTTTCAAAGGAGGATTTAGCTAACTCTACATTTCTTCATTTTATAGCTGTTCGTTCAGTTGGGGAAAAAAGGAATAATTGAGACTGAGTAATGGATATTTCTCAAGATCTCCAAGACTAGGTATTACATAGCAGTATGGGTATGATTTATGACTTTGTCCAGTTAAAGTTACTGGGATAAGCACTCCAGTATTTACTTGTAACCTGAAACCCTTTTCATGGTGTGCCTGGATCCTACGGGAAAAGAATTTACATTTGAGGAATGCTTACCTTGTGCCAGGCATTTTATATGCATTATCTTATTTAATTCTCATAACCACAAGGTATGGCCAATATTATTTAATCCGATTTTATGTGCGTGAGATCATAAGAGGAGTAAGGTATAAAATGAGGATTTGACTCTCTCGCTTTTTCTATTTCCTTAAAACCCAAGGTCCTTTCACTAAACCACATGGGTTTCCCATTGGAGCCATTATGTGGAGGTGATAAGAGAGGACGTTCTGGCAATAAGGGAAAGTCTGAACTTTGACACAAGTTCTCCTCTGGGGTAAAATAGAAAAGAAACTAATATGATGAGTTAGATTAAAGCATGTTCCCTAATGCAGTAACTGATTAAGCAAGTTATGGACTATCCATACTATGGAATACTATGTCAATGTCATCATTAGAGAGAATCACTTAAGTCTGTTTAATGAAATGGAAGGCTGTCCATGAGTTGCAAAATATTGCATAACAATATGTGCAAAATGATTAACTTTAACACAATAACAACCATATACACATGTTTGCACGTGCTTAAACACAGGTCTGGAAGCATATATACAAAAATGTTGGTTACTTCTGCTCAGCAGGCTAAGAGTAACCAGTAGGCAAATTTTACCTCTTAATCTCTATGCATCATTGTTGCTTAAATTTTGTGTGTGTGCAATTATATGTATTAAATTTACAAGTAAAAAGCATGTAATGGATTGGTTGAATAATCTGTAGGAATGACTCAACCCAAGGAATGGATGATTAAGGAGATTTAATCTCACAAAAGCAAAACAGTCCAATCTATTTGACACTCTATCAGGCATCAACATTACTATATGTATATGGCAAAAGGTAAAACCTCATCACTTGTATTGCACTCTGTCTTATCTGAAGAAGGTGTTAAAAGAGAGCAAATGAATACCAGCCATATCAACTTAACATGTCCAAAATGGAGCTTTCTAGTTTGCTCTTCTTATTCAACCCATCTGTGTAGTATTACCATTTCTTCATGTGCCTAAGCCCAAATCCTAGGAGGCACACTTGCTTTCTCCTTTCTTTTTCCAGCTGTATTCTGACCAGCAGCAGATCCAACCTGACCTATCACCAATATATCTCTTTAAGGACTCCACATAAGCCATCATTACCTCTTGCCTGGACTCCATGGTTGCCTCCGTACAGGTCTCCTTGCTTCCATTTTACAAATCAATTCTCCACATGGCAGCCAGAGTGATCTTTTATATTCCCTCAATTTAGCACTCCTTATGTTTTTTTTATTGTATTTATTTATTTTATTATTATTAATTTTTTAGAGAGAGAGGTGAAAGAGAGAGAGAGAGAGAGAGAGAGCATGAGCTGGGGGGAGGGGCAGAGGGGGAGAGAGAGAGAATCCTAAGCAGACTCCATGCTCAGCACGAAGCCCAACATGGGGCTTGATCACATGACCCTGGGATCATGATCTGATCTGAAATCAAGAGTTGGACGCTCAATAGGCCGAGCCACGCAGATGCCCCAGTTTTTCATTGCATTTAGAATACAATCCAAATCTCTCACTGAGGCCCACAAGAACCTATGTGATCTGATGCCAGTTGATCTAATGGCTAGGACCTTAACTCCTACCACCATCCTTCTAGTTCATTAAGCTCTGACTATTCTGGCTTGCTTCCTGCCTTTCAAATACATCAAGCTCTGTGGGTCACTGGGTATTTACACTTGCTTTTTTTTTTTTTTTTTTTTTTTTTTTTTTTTTTTTTTTTTTTTTTTTTTTTTTTTGCCTTCAATACTCTTCTCTTAACTTTTTACATGGATGGCACCTTACCAATATGAATCAATGTTTTACAAATGAGAAAACTGAATTTCAGACAGTGTAAGTAACTTATTCGTGGTCATAGCACTTGCTACATGATGAAGCTTTGTTTTGCACTCAGTTCTGAATTATTTCATGCTCTTCCCATTACACTAGACAATGAAGACAGTCCATCCTATGGCTGTGGTTAAGGTTATGACAATAGATGAGCAAGTATCTACTTGCTGAAAAGACCAGGAAAAATAAATTATTTTAAAAGTTCCTTTTATAGGTTCTCCTTCCTACCTTTAGTACACTCTCCAACTTCTTCAGGAAGACTTACACTGGCTAAGGGGAAAATTTGAGATAGATACATTTGGAAAATCTTGTCTGAGAGATGTGAAATTCAATACTGCTATATAAGAAATGAGAATACAATGACCCAATCAGAACCCCTTACAACTTACTTAGTTAGATGTCCAAAGAGAATTTTCATGGTGTCACGATTTGGTGGAGGGAGTTTTTGCACAAGAGACTTTATAGTTTCAATTCTTGTGTTGTAGTCTTGCTTTTCTGAAAGATAAATAAATAAAAGGAAGGTTAGAAAAAAAAAAAGAGATTTTATAGGTGTATGAGGGAATTTTCTTAGGAGAACTTTGGAGTAAGATGTAGCAACATAAAGTCCTAATCAGCAACCAAAGAGAATAGGTGTATACAACGTCCTTATCATGAAGTTTTTTTTTAGTTTGACTGTGATGTAGATCATAGTAATACCAAGCAACAACAGCGTAGCTTTGACATAGTCTTCTTGTTAAGATCAGTTATTCAATCAGTTTTATAAATTCTTTATTGTTTTATAAGACACAGTAGGGTGAATAACGGCTCTCCAAAGATGTTCATGCCCTCATCTCTGAAACCTGTGAATATGTTGCCTTCTATGACAAAAGGGACTTTGCCAATGTGATTCAGTTAGGGACTCTGAGATGGGGAGGTTATTTCAGAATTATCTGGGTAGGTCCAGTAAAATCACAAAGGTGGTTAAGAGAAAAGCAGGAGGATCAGAGTCAGAGAAAAAGGATGATGTATCAATGGAAACAGAAAAATAAGTGGCTATTATTTGATGAAAAGCCATGGGCTAAGGAGCGAAGATAGCCTCTAATAACTGTAAAAGTCAAGGAAAGAGAGTCCCCAGAAGAAGCACAGGTGTGCCAACACCTTGATTTTTCCCAGCGAGACAGATTTCAGACTTCTGACCTTCATGAGTGTAAGATAATATGTTTGTGTTGTCTGAAGCCACTGAGTTGTGATAACTTGTTATAGCAGCAATTGGAAATGAACAGATGAGGACACAAAATGTGATTAAATTACCAATATTTTATTGTTCACTTGATTTTGTGGAAGGGTAAATAATTTTTTAAAATTTCTTCTATGTTATCTTTTCTCCCTAAGAGATTTTTTTGCTATAAAATTAAAAAATGCAAACATTAAAAATTGAAGGCATAATACCTAGTCACATATATTTTCAAAAATATAGTAGGTTGTTTAAAACTACATACCGCCTAGATTGCTTTCTTTCATTTTGTTTCTCTTTTCCTTCAAGGGCATGGATGGCATAATAAGAATTGACTTACTTAGCATCTAGGGAATTCATCTTACATAATTTTAGCCAGGACTTTGAACTGTGATTACTTATTCAACTTAAATACTTTATGCAAATTGACTTAGGTACCTTTACTTTCTATATTCTGTCTCTAACTTACAGAGCTCCTGGTGATCCTTAAGAGGTCACTGTTGGAAAAGACGATATAGAAGAATAATATGTAAGGCACACATCCACCCAATATTTATTCTCTTCTTCTTGGCAAGACAATCCATTGTTGAGGGGATGGCTGTATACTCTACTAAAAGAGTTCCTTCCCCAACCTCCTTGGCAGCTGGAGTGAACATGTGACCACATCAGGCCAATGAGACTTCAGTCAAAGTGACAGAACTTCTGGAGAGGCCATGTGCCAGGAGCTGACTTAGCTTTTTAGCCTTTTTACCTTTCTGCTCCTCAAAATGTAAATGGAATGGTTGTACCATCAAATGACCTTGAGAATTGACTCCACTCAGCTGGAAGAAGTTTCTCTGAATCTCTGAAGGAGTCAAATCAGTCCTGTACAGTCTCTGGGTTTCTTTAACGTAAGAAAATCAGCCAGATTGGACCAAAGGCTTTGAAGATGAGTCTCTGATACTAAAGCCAAACACAATTCCTAATACAAAGTGCTTCTAAAAGCCCAATTCATTATCACCTGTTATGAGGTATATAAACTTTACAGAGTAGGGTAAGAAAGAGTTAGTTCAGAAGCTGGCAGGTTTTTCTTTTTTTTTAAGTACACTGTTGCAAAAGAAACTTTTAATAAGGAATTATAGGAAAATATCCTGCAAAAGATGGTATTTGGCAACAGTGGAGTGGGGGGCAATCTTCCTAGTAGAACTCTGCTTGGAAACTTTTCTTCTTCCTCCCAAAACCACAAAGGCCTATAAATAATGCCTCCCACAGTTAGAGCTTTCAAAATTGCAGTTATTCTTAGAAGAGTTCCAACATAATATGGATTAAACAACTGCAAATGAAAGAGACAAAGGGGAAGAGAGAGAGAGAGAAATTACAAAAATAAAAAAGGAGAGAGAAAGAAAAAGGAAAGCCAGTTGCAACATCATGGAATACAGCAGATAACAATCTTTCTGCCGAAAGGGTAGAAAGCCCCCTTGTTGCTCAATGATGGTAAGACAATGTGATGCTACATAGGACCAGCTGGAGGCTGTGGGATATAACTAACTCAGAAAAAATAAGTAAAACAGCTCAATAAAGAGGAGAGTGAAATTTGTGTAGTATGTCCAGGACAGAGCTCTTAGGGATACTTGGATACTTTGTATTTAGTCATCTGAAGCTGATACCACACACCAATGATTATATATAATTCACATCTAAATACATATATATACATACATCTACAAATACTTATACGCGCATTTACATATTCATGAGGTGGACACATTCTGCATAGTTGGTATGATGCTAGTAGGTATCATTTACCTGAGGACCTGGTGAACTACTTGGTTCAAGCAATAAAGATGATATTGGGAGAGGAGAGGAAGGAAGAGGAGAGGAAATTTCCAATTTCACTGAGATCTCTCGCCACCATAATAATCAGGTCAGCATCAGAGTCTCCAAAAAAGCGACCAGTTGACATTGGGGACAGAAGGAGCAGTCATAAGTTAAGTTTGACAGACGATTAGGTGGACGGTGGCCTAAAATGGCTACATCTAACAGCAAACCTCAGCTTTACAGGGAACATATGACTCAGGTTTAAGAAACGTTGGGGGTTGCTTAATCAGAAATATTTACATTTTCAAGGTCACTGCCATGGTGCTTGAGCTGGAATTAAAACTTTAATAAGCTTGTTTAACCATCAGGTAGAAGAACTATGAACTGCCCGAGACAGAGTCAGTTCTCTCTCTTGTGTGTTCCTTTGCACTTAGGACATTCTATTTATACAACATTCCACATGGTGTTTCCATGGCTTGAATGCCTTTTAAGTTCTCCCATTAAGCTGGGAATTTTCCTATAAAGCTGGACAGATTTTATACTGGCACGTAGAGGGTTAAATGAATGAAGACAGAATTATTGAATAAATGAAAAACCTGAACATGGATTAGAATACACTGACCTTGGTTTGAATTCTGCAACGGCTTTTTATCATCTGTGTGGTCTTGGACAAGTTTCTCACTTTCTTTGAATAATATCTAAAAGGCTAGTTTTATGGATTAAACAAGATAGTATGCAATGTACCTAGCATAATGACTAGTAAAAAGTACATACTCCACAAATATTCACCCCTTTCTCACCCCTTTATTCACCCACAAATATTCACCCCTTTTTTGAGGCCCATGCTGTGTCTGGTTCATGTCTTATTTTCAGCAGTAAGCATTCTACCTGGTTGTAGTGGTCATCCAAAGTGCAGTTGCCAGTACTCGAACTGAGTTGCTGCCCGTTGGTGACAATACAATTGCCATGGTAGCCTGACATTTCACAGCACACTAGATACTTTGTGATCAACAGGGACTGATGATCGGATCGGTGGGCAATTCAGTTACATTTAAGAATCCTTATAAAAGTATATGGTGGTTCCCATATCTGCTTATAAGAAGCATTCTACACGAAGGCTACTTCATAGGAATATTTTCTCTTTCTTTCTCTACGTTCACACACACTTGAGAAATTGCACAATTGCATAGTGGTTCACGCATTGTGTGGCTATGTTATATTTAAGTACTGGAGGGGAAGTGAACAATGGTTCAGAGAGAACTGGAGTATTACTAAGGAAGAGAAATTTGCTTTCCTTACAACATAAGCAGAACAAAATCTTTGAAAAGGTTATAGGAAAGCAGTGGTTTCCCCTTCAAATCAATACCACACCCACTCTTTCATAGCTTGTAGAATCAGGAAATAACGCAAATACTTCTAAGTGGAAGAACATCTAAAAATACAATTGGATACATTAAAATTGAAGTGACATCTTTTCAGATCTGGTTTATTGACGTGTCATATAAGGAATTGGAATCCACATACATAATACAGGACTGGTTAATGAGCTAAGATTCATATACAGCTTACTAAAGATGTGTCACCCGTCTTCATTTGATTCAGTGAGCACTGAAACATAGCATTTTCTATTAATATTCCTCCTTCAGCATATGGTTTCTCGTTATTGTGAAGTATTGAGAGTTTTGAGAAGACTTTGAGATACCTCTGACTTTTTTTTACATTATGACCTAACGGAAAGGGGAGAACTTCTTCTTTATGGAGAATTAGAGAATCTCTTAGGTAAATTGTGAGACTTCTGCAAAATCTTTCCAGTAACAAGCAACTCCATAATTCTCCACCCTTTCCCTCACATTTGCCCCTAACCTCATTCCCGTATGACTTATTTTTGTATTTACTCTATGCTTTATACTACCTCTGTTTTAGTTCTCTAACCATATCCCAACTGCCTCACCAGTCTCTAAGCTGTGAACATAACCTCCTCTCTAACTGCACACAAAACCTTTCTGTAGTGCTTCATTGTTGCCACTGTTGGGTGGCAAGAAATGTCTATGTAAAAATACGTATAACTTGCATGTCCAGTGTTAAAATAGTAAAATAGGAAACGATTTCTTCCTAACGCCTATCCCTCACCCACCTGGCCCCATATTCTCAAACTACATGAAACTCTGTTGTAAATGAACTTCTTGAAAAACAACTCCAGGCTACTTAGAGAAGTAACAGCTTCTACGTGATGTGAAATAGACTTTAATGTTATGATAAGGATGTGGCTTTATAGTTTTGCCCTGATTCATGGTTTTGAGGACACATTTTTTAAAAATATAGTTTATGAGAGTTACATTTACATTTATCTGCATGAAATGTTGCTACTAAAACAAGGACATTTAAAACCAAATGCCTTTTCTGCAAAGAGATAAGATAAAGTTATACAATGATTGAAAGAGTTCTGTGCAGTGCAGAACCCTGGACCTGGTGACCCCTGGACACT